ACCTCAAACTGAAGGTCTCGTCGATGATGATCGGCGGAAGATTTCTGTCGACTCTGAGCTGTCTTGAGTCTCTGCCGGATCAACTCGACCTACTCTGCTGTCTCTTCGATCATCCTAGGACCGAGTACTCGCCGCTCTCCGACGTCGTCCCAATAGAGAGGGGAACGACACTTGCGACCGTAAAGTGCCTCGTACGGAGCCATATGAATAGAGGAATGATAACTGTTGTTATACGCAAACTCTGCGTACGGCAACAACGACTCCCACTTGGCACCCCTGTCAACAACCAAGGCGCGAAGCATATCCTCAAGTGTCTGAATCGTCCGCTCTGACTAACCATCTGTCTCCGGATGGTAGGCTGAACTGAACTCAAGCTTGGTGCCCATCGCCTCATGTAAGCTGTGCCAGAATCGGCTGACGAATCTGGGATCTCTGTCTGATACAATCGTGACGGGCACTCCGTGGAGTCGGATGATCCCACGGGTATATATCTCAGCCAACTTGTCCAGAGACATCTTCATCGAAACGGGTAAGAAATGTGCCACTTTAGTCAATCTGTCGACCACGACCTAGATAGCGTCGTGATGTTCAGACGACCTCGGTAATCCCGTAACGAAATCCATCGTAACTTTCTCCCACTTCCACCTCGGAATCGGCAGTGGCTGTAGGAGGACAATCGGACTCTGATGCTCGGCCTTGACTTGCTGATAGGTAAGACACCTCCTAACGAACTTGGCGACGTCCTTCTTCAGGCCTCGCCACCAAAATGACCCTTTCAGGTCGTGGTACATTTTCGTGCTCCCGGGATGGGCCAAGTAGGGTGCGGTATGTGCCTCTGATAGAATCTCCTTTCGCAATGCCTCGACCTTCGGGACCACGATCCTGCCTCTGAACTCTAAGGCACCATCGGCGCCTAGCTGAAAATCCTGTACTCCTCCGGCGCGAACCTTGGCCTCCATAACACGAACAAACTTGTCAGAAGCCTGCTCTCGCCGGATCCTCTCCCTCAGTGTCGGCTGAAGCTGCATAGCACTGACACTGGCACTAGTGCTCCCCGAGACAGCTATGGGGAGTGCATCAATTTCCTGAAGCTGCATTCGGGCGAACTCATGGATCAACGGACTCTGCTGCGTAATGACGTACGTCAAGTCACCCTTCACCTTTCGGCTTAGGGCATCTGCGACGACGTTCGCCTTCCCCGAATGGTACTGGATAGAACAATCATATTCCTTGACCAATTCGAGCCAACGGCGCTGCCTCATATTAAGCTCCCTCTGCGTGAAGATGTACTGTAGGCTCTTATGGTCTGTGAATATCTCGCAGCGTCCGCCGTAAAGATAATGACGCCAGATCTTCAGGGCGTGAACGGCTGCGGCTAACTCTAGGTCGTGCGTAGGATAGTTCTGCTCATGAGGTTTAAGCTGACGTGAAGCATACGCAACGACCCGTCCGTCCTGCATAAGGACACATCCCAAGCCCTGTCTCGAAGCATCGCTGAAAATAGTGAAACTCCGAGAAGGGTCGGGCATAGTCAACACCGGTGCTGTAGTTAACTTCTTCTTGGGCTCCTCGGAAACAGTAAAACTGGAATGTACAAGCTTAACTTAAAGCTTATACTTACTGATTGCATGACTTGAGAATCCAGTAATTTAATACTGAATAAAAGACTTAATCAATTCACAATTAAGTGAACTGTAGAATACTGCTGACTGAAAATGGACACTTTTCTGAAAGAAAGTGTTCCACTTGCTAAGACATGATCTCAAAACGAAACTCTGAAATTGGTGGTCGTCCTCTTCTGGCTGCTGGCGGTTCTCTGATCGGAATGCTGGTGGTGAAGACTCTCTCCGCAATCTCCCCGTGTACTGAGGCTCAGACATGGCATCTTTGAATGGGAAGCGTCGGTTTACCATCATGGCACGATCCGTTGTTGTTGATTGGCTCTTCTTCATCGCGGCGAATGTCAACCTGTGGTACCTGCAACTTTTTACTCCCTCCGAGGTTACACTTAACCCCAAGAAGAAGTCCCTCATGACTTATTATCTCCCACGATTTCTCAGATTCTTCAGAATTTGAGAATCGGGGCGCTGACATACTGAAAACGATGGATGAGTCTTGTCTTATTAGACAAACTATCCTTGATCTTAACATGACTGGCCTGAATACTCTCATGACTGAATAACCATGACTTAACTTTCACATGACTGAATCATCTCTGTCTGAACTCTGAAAGCTATCTCGAGACAACTTAAATAGTCGCTTCGAGATTGAAAACGTGATATTTACTGACTTACTTGACTTGATAAGGTTCGACTTCAAGTTTCCAGGTAAATCTGGACTAGTGGTCTGTATATCAGACCGTTACTTTTTACCCGGTTGAACAACTATTATACGTCGACCTTATATCATGAACATAAACTGTAAATCGTGAACATTAACTCTGTACTGTATAGGGCTGCTCCAGTATCAACTGGTCCCGCAAGTACAAAGTAATTAGCTGATCTTGTCTTCCGAAAGTCATAACTTAAAATAGCATGACTGATAAAATGTCTGACATGACTGACTTGAAAGGTTGTTATTACCTGAAATCTTACTGATTCGGCCCCAGCTTTAAGCCTCCATGGTATACCCGGCTGAGTGGCTCTTATTTCAAGCCTCCATGGTAACCCGGACTGTTGACTCTTATACACTGGAAACCGTTACCTTAACAATGACTTGAGAATTATAACAACCTTTAACATGAAAATTCTTGCCTTGAACACGACTTATTGATCTGACTTAGGAACTTTGAGTCTATTCCTCGAATTAAATCAAGGAATTTCTCCCTGAAGTCTGCCAATTGATTGACAAAATGGCAGTTCTCGATAAAAACTTCTGAGAAACATGATTCTTAAGATTTGTTTAGCACAATGCTTACAAATCTTCTGACAAGTTACTAACTTGACCGGAATAAGTCTAGAATTGAATCTAGAGTTCTTAAACTCAATCCTTTTCTACGGTTTTGAATTCACTTGTCCCTGATACGGGGATTTCCTCAGCCGAAGAATTTCTCAACATGATAGTCGCGGAACTGTGCGACTACTGTGGCTTGAGTAAAAACTGAGTGATCGGGTTCCCTACGGGGCGGTATCTGAACATTGAGAAAATTTTTAACATTACTGAATACATGATAACATTACTGACTGATTACTAAGGCACACAGATCTCTTGACAAGTTGCCAAAAATGACTGATAAATACTGACTTGCAACCTGAAGAACTCTAGAGTCATATAGGAAGATCCTAACGTCTAGAGTCATATCTGAATACCTAAATTCTAGAGTCATGTCCAAACTCTAAGGTCTGAATCTGATTCGAGCATCTTAACTAAAGTCCTGATCCTCAATTCTGAGCATAGACAAAGTAATATGTTTATAACTGAAAAACTGAATCAGCACTTACCTGTCGTCGGCGGGGCGTGAGCATGACGGTGCGGGTTTTTATGAAAAATTTACTGACTGAAAACTTATCAGAGACGCAGAAACGTGCTCTGATACCAATTGTAACACCCCACCTTATTGTACAATCAGAGTAGCGCAATAATTCGCAAAGTCTTGGAAAACTAAAACATTTTTACTTTGCGAAATTGATTTGGGGTGCTACCGTGAAAAATCGTTACTTAACTTTAGAAAACCGTTGTTTTAACTTATTAAAAACATCCGGTTACTGAAAACTTTATTTTTTCTTAAAAGCTCGTAAAAGTGATGAGTTCGTCAAAAACGTACGTCAGAAGATATCAAAACATCATCACAAGTCATCAAAACATAAGCGGAAGCGTAAGTCATAATCATATTTATACAGTCCAAAA